CGGCCTCTGGTCCTCCACCTTCTATCCGAGCAGGGCTGTCGAGGACGAGAGCGCCTTTCAGCTTCTCGTCACGCGTCCTCCCCTTCGATCCCTCGGCGGGGTCATCTCGGGTCTTCAGGAGCTGAAGAATTTGGGAAAGGCTGTCTTGCATGCTTGCGATTTGCATCCCTTGACTCTTGACCACTTCCTCCAGCTCGGCTTCATCTTCGACCCTCGGCGATAGGCCTCGGAGGGTGTTGTTTTCGGTCATCCCCTTGAGGGGGGTTTCGAAGTCGTCTCCCATCTCGTTCACCACAAAGTCGTGGGCCCCACGGTGGGCGCCAAAATCTCTGTGCTTGGATTGTTCCAAGCGGTTTGTGAGACTCCACTGGCCTTGGGCGGCTTCGATGGTCGAGGGTGGTCTCCGAAACCCTGCAGAAAGGTCCTCAGGGGGGTCCTGGGACCTCCTCCGATGCTTAAGTTAGAGAGAGAAGTGAAGTATGAGTAAATAAGAGAGAGAAGGGAGTTGGTAGAAGTTACCATCAATGTGGCTCATCATCGGGTATTTATACTAGTTGTAAGCGGATCGTGGGCATTTAATGACTTGTCGGACGTCCTGGGACGCCTTCGACAGTACTGACTACTCCGTACTTTGTCAGACTCCGTACCTGAGGAGGTCAGGAGCAGGTGTCCGTTTGCCATTATGTCGGGCGGTTTCCGTCCTGTTTGTAGGGGAAGACCGCCTTCAGCCAGTTTGGTGGCCTGCTGCCACTGTTTGGGCCCAACCTGTTTTATCGGCCTTAAGTGGCTATGGGCCTGGAGTCCAAGTGTCTCAATATTTGGCCCAACAAAACCAAAAAAGAAAATTTGAAAGTTGTTGGTTGTGTGAACTCTTTATAACAATATTTTAAATTACATCTATTTATCATTTTAGATGATAAATTCTTACGTCATTTAATTGTTTTAGTCACTTTGTTAAAGTTTATTAACAAAGCTGTTTACTACTTTACTTAAATTTCTTCAACACATCTTTTGTAAAATCGTGGGTAAAATACCTATGGTAACATTAAAATTAGAATAAGGCGTCAGGTATCAGTAACGTCATTGAATTGTGCATCCGTTTAAAATTTCGTCCATCTACCGTTAAGAAAGAATATAATATCATTTTTATAAAAAAAGTTAAATAATATAAAAGAGAAAGAAAAATCTAAAAAACAAAATGTGAAAAAACATTTGAGCTCCAACTGTTTGGCTGGCCGGTTGGTTTCTTGACCTTCCTAAAGCTGTGGCTTGGGAGATAATTAGGGTTTGCTCCGCCGTTGTGATAGTTGTTGATCTTTGGTAGACAGTAATTCCGACTTCGCGACTCCTCATCTCCCGAATCTTGGAATTCGGCTGTCTCAAAAACAAATCATCCGGAGAGACCACCGGAGATAAAGCGATGCAAATCCTGAACTGCTTTTCATATGAAATGGAATCTCAAAAGCAACCGATAATTGGAGTAGCTGGTGAGATCGGGAAGCCGATTAAAACTAAGAATTTTGATTAATTCGATTACCGCGACGGAACAACGACCTAATTATCTCCCAAACCACAGTTTCGGGGAGGTCAAGAAACGCTCCAACAGTCCAACAGCCGGAGCTCATATGTTTTTCACCTAAACGAGGATGAAATAACATAATTTTCTTCCGTTTTTTAAAAAAATCACTTTCTTTTATATTATTTAACTTTTTTATCAAAAGATAATATTTTATATCTTCTTAACTGTAGATGGACGAAATTTTAAACGGATGCACAATTCAATAATGTTAGTGATACCCGATGTCATATTCTAACTTTTATGTTATAGCTTCCCAATTCTTATACTTTAAATATCCTTTCTCTACTTCCCAATCACCCTAAATTATTCTTATACTTTAGGGGTCGTTTGCTTCGAGTATTTGAAAAATGAAGGTTTTGGTAAAACTTGGGTTTTGTAAAACCATGGATATATTAGGATTTTGGGTTCATCATGAACTTGAAAAATACCATTGTTAGTTTCATAGATTTCATGATGGAATTGGTTAATTAGATTTGTATGTATGAAGTGAAATTTACTTTTATTGTCCTCATTGGTATGAGAAGAGAAATGAAATATGAGGGGTAGTTTGGTCTTAAATGATGGACTTCAAAGTACATGATCAATTCCCACCTAAATAGGTGGAACTTTCAAATCCGTGGAGTCCACGGATTTGGACTCTTAAAGTTTGTGGGACCAGGGACCACGGATTTGTTGCCCCTAAATGCATGAAGCAAACAATGAATTTTGAACAAAGTTCACGATGAATCCAAAACCCTCACCAAATTCATCACCAAATAGTGTAATCTGATACTATATATCCTTTCGATAGGGTAAAATACTTCGGGTACCACTAAAGTATGAGAATTGGGGTAGCTATACCACTTAAGTTAGAATAGGGCGTTAGATACCAGTAATGTCAATAAATTGTAGACAATGTAGTCAAAATCGCGCTTTAAAACTTAACAAGTTACGATTTTACGTTTTTAGGTCACTAAAACGCTTCTACACAAAATCTCGGTTTTTATAACTTATGTAGTTAAAAACTCCGGTTTAAAACTTAAAAACTTACGATTTTACGCTTCTAGATCACTAAAACGTTTCTACGTAGAAACTCGCTTTTTGACTACATTGATTGTAGATCCGTTAAAATTTCGGTCCGTCTACCGTTAAGATGGAATAAAATATTATTTTTGTCAAAAAATTAAAACTAATATAAAAGAAAATTAAAAATTAAAAACTCCAAAAAATCCCCTCTCTTGCGTCCTCCAATCCTGAGCCGCCATCAACGGCGACCCTGCCGTCAACAGTCTCCTTAAGGGCGCCGTCGTGGACTACAGCTCTTTCTTCGCATCACAGAACCTCCCTCAACCAGCTGTCGACGCCGAAGATTCAACGCCTGAGAGCAGCGCCGACGTGAAGAAGCCCACGTATGGTACGGTAGTCGTAGCTAGGGATGGCAATTTACCCACCCATGGGTAATTTTGCCCAAACCCAAGTAGACCCATTTATTATGGGTGGGTTTGGGTGATGTGTATATGGGTTTGGGGTTTGTATATGGGTTTGGGTTAGATATGGATATTATCTAAATGGGTATGGGTTGGATATGGATATCCATTTACTTGAGGGTGTTTTAACTACACATGCAAAAATTGGACTTATTTGTAAAACTTGAAAAATTTAGGTACCAAAATGTAAGACCAAAAAAATTTAGGTACCAAAACGTAATTTTCCATCGATATTTTGAGGACTTATATGCAAAAAAAATTAAATTTAGGTACTAAATATGCATATCTATTAAGTTTAGGTACCAAACTGTAATTTGTATTTGGGCATGGGTACAAACCCAAATCCATTTGTTATAAACCCAACCCAACCCAAAGTAAATGGGTATGGGTACAAACCCATCAAACTTTACCCATATCCACATATTTGGATTTCATATCCAACCCAATTGAGTTGGATAGTAAAATACCCATGGGTATGGACAAAATTGCTATCCCTAATCGTAGCGAAACGATTCCTTTTATCTGGTTCGAAGATCGCCGAGCTACGGGAGAAAATAGGGTGCTTCCGGGGCCGGCAGAGGATCGAGGCCACAAAAGAACCGCCGTCACAAAAGCAGAAGGCAACAAATTAGGGTTTCATTCTAGCGGTTATGGCTGGCGGGGAAGCTGTGTGGAGCCATGAGGAACACCGTCGTTGGTGGTGTCAGGTGTGTTGATGATTTGACGATGGGAAGATGCGCCGGCGTTGAGGATAAAGGATAATCTTGGGGTTTTTTTTTTAATTTATATTTCTTTACTAAATAATAATATTTTATTATGCTTTAACGGTAGATGGAAGGAAATTGTAACGAATGCATAATTTATTGAAGTTAGTGGTACCCGATGCACTATTCTAACTGAAGTGGTATAACTACACATTCTCATACTTTAGTGGTACCCCGGGGTATTTTAATATTTTTAAGAGGTGGAAGAGATTAAGTGCGTGGTTATTAAAAAAAAAAATTCCATAGTTATCCTCAAAAGAAAGCAATATAGATACGACAATATACAAGACTTACTAAAATCAAGTTAGGAAATTTAAATAATAAAATATGATGATCGACAAGTATCTGCACCATCAATCCAAGAGCGTGTCTTGGCACAATATGTCGTAATTATGATATATCGTAAAATGGTGACTACTTCGGCGCACTCACAAAAATGAGTGCGTTCAGTGCACCCAACTCAAAAACTAGTCTTAAGGTGTCGGATTTTCAATTTTTATTTGTAGAATTAGTGTAATATGATGATATAGCATATGATAACAACGAATTAACGATTTACCCTAAGCCCTAGACCTCCAATTTTGAGTTCTATCCCTAAACCCCAATTTGTAAACCCTAACCCTATCCCTAAATCTCTAAACTCTAAATCCTTCAAACTAAAGTAAATTTTTAATGATTTTTGTACAAAATTCATGTGTGTTATTGTTCATCATATCATAAGCGATGATCGACATAATTTTGACATAAATCGCATGTTTAAAATGACTGTTATGAAGTGAATGCACCCAAAAAAGTGAGAGCACCGAAGACGTCACCATCGTAAAATATAAGTTATTTTATAATTATTAAATCATTCTCATTTGTTAAACTTTATCGGATGTTCGCAAAGGACAAATCGTAAACATTTTATCAAGTTCTAACCGAAATGACTGAACTAAAAACGAAACTCAATTATCAGTAGTATGTAAGTATTCTAGGAGCTATAACCGAAATGACTACTTAATTAGTAATAACCCACCTTAATATCATTAGCTATGGTTACTAATCAACTTTTAGGTATGATAACTTGACACCTTTCCACGTCGATCTTTGAGAAATAAACAAAATATTGGAGAGCTAGCAATAGCATCACACTCTTTGAAAGCCACCCACCCTAACCACCCTCAATCGAATTTACCCACCCACCCAATTCCCTGACCTAACCCCTAACTCAGTCCCTCCATAAAACCAAACTCACAAAATCACCACTTTCATGCAAAATTAAACCAACACAACATGGAGCACCGTCTCGTCGTCTTCACTCTTCTTCTTCTTCCTCTAGTCATCATGATAATCCCTGCCACCGCCCAACCATCTTCCTCCGATCAAGTCCCACCCCCACCACCACCGCCACCACCAACGTCCCAACTCCCCGGCGGCGACAACGGTCTCAACACGAGGTGCTCCATCGACATCTACCGCCTCGCCGTGTGCACTCCGCTGGTCGGCCTCGACGTCGGCAGCCTTACGACCAGGCCGTGCTGCGGGATGCTGCTGGGGCTCATCGACATGGAGGCGACGGTCTGCCTGTGCATGGCGCTGAGAGCGAACATCCTTGGGATGCATCTGGATATCCCATTGGCTCTCGATTTGGTGCTCTCTACTTGTTACACCACCGTTCCACACTACTTCCAGTGTACTGTTACCTGATTTTCCTCAAGTTGTTGGACAGGACGATGATCGAATCGATGGCCGTTTTGTATGTTTGACAAGGCTAATTTTAATATATCCAAGGATACTTGAGTACGAGTAAATGGCCGTAATCAATGTCGTAGTCCACAACCATTAGATACAAAATAAAGAACAGCAACTAATTTGATTACTATGTGTCTATGTTCATGAACGAATCAACTGCAGTCTGCAGACTCTGTTTTGGTTAAGTGACTACCAACCTGAATAAGTGGTTGTTGCTGCTGCTTCTCCCGGAAAACACGAATGTTAATGTCCTTCCAGATACTGTGATGCACCTTGGCTTGATAAACTTTGTCGTCCAATGATAACTTCTTCTTCGCCTCAAACGTAATGTAATAGTTATACCCAATGTCCATGCTGTAATTGACCGTCTGAATGAGGACGAGTTCCAGCTACAGAGGAAAAAAAAAGCGGAGAGAAACAAATATTAAGGCCACAATGCCGCAGATTTGATTCTGGAAATGACTAATTGTGGAGGGGAATTGGAGATCGAAAGAACCCTAAACAGAGAACAGACCAGATTGCCCTGTTTCTTCTGCTCATCGATTACACGGTTGAGACAGCGCCGGATGTTGTCGACGTGATGGGCGTGTTTAGCACTACCGAAGTCGACCTTGTAAATTGCACAAGCAAACATTTGGTACTCCAGAAGGGGGTTTTCGTCCAAATCGAAACCCTAGAGAGAGGAACGACGAAGAGAGCAAAAAAATCAAGCAAGGTGGCGGCAATTTAAGTAGGAGATCGAAGAGATTAATCAATAGCAGCAGCAAACCTCGCTCTCCTTGATTTTCCTGATGTAGCGTTGCAGGCCTTCGTCGTCTTCCGGAATGCGCTTGATGAGGGTCCGTACCTTAGGAATCCACTGCTTGACCTCCATCGCATCGTCTTCGTCGTCGTCGTCGTCGTCGATCTCGTCACTGCTGTCTTCCTCGTCGTCGATTTCCTCCTCTGTGTTGCTGATGCCAACCTTTACGTCCTCTTCAAGCTTCCGTCGCTTAGGATCGGATTCGGATTCGGAGGAGGAGGGAGGAAGCGAATCGGAGCAACTTATCCCGGCCGACTTGTCGCAGTCGGAGCTCGGCTGAAGAAGATTGGGATCCATCCCCGACAATAGACAGATCGAGACCAAGCAGAATAAATTAAACAACTGTGGGAGAAAACCTAGATTGAGGAGAGAGGAGGGCAGAATTGGATCAGTGAGTGTGTCGCGTAGGGCGTTTACCAAACTTATACTACTCGCGATCTCTTTAGTTTGTAATACGTTCAGTTTGGAGTTTTTTCCAATAATAGCACCCTAAAAAAAAAAATTACAAAAATAGCACACATATGTAAAAATGGACAGAACTAGCACACATTTTTATGGAACGCACCTCCATGATGCGTTTTATAAGTAAACCGCACCTGAAGGATGCGTTTAACTTATAAACCGCATCATGGAGGCGCGGTCTCAGTGAGGAATCGCACGCCAGCGGAGCGATCCGCGCCAGCTGCGGAACGGTCTTCAAGACCGCTAGATGGAGATGCGATCTGACGGTGGATCGCATGCCAGCGGGGCGATCCGTGCCAAGGAAGGAGGAACGCAGCGGGAGGCAGCGGTCAACCCTTGGGAAGCGCAAACCGCATCGGGAGGCAGTGGTTTCCCTTAGGGCAAAATTACTGGACCGCCCCTGGGGGGTGCGGTCTGATGGGTATAAATACCCCCCCTCCCCCTCTCATTTCTTCACACCACAACCCATTCTTCCTTCTCTCTCTACAATTTATCTCTCTAAACCCTCCCCTCCCAAAAGCCTAGGAAATAGTGGTCTGTTGGTTGCGGCTAAGTCCGATCTGCCATCAGAAAACATTTCTTAGGTTTTTTCCTCAAAACCCTCCGAGTCGAGCCGAAGCTCTGTCCGAATTACGCCGAAAAAATGGTCGATTGGTGACAAGGAGAAGGGGTTTATGTTGATGAATTTCAAGCGGTATGTACTCATTATTCTGGTTTAATTTTTGTTGTTGTTATAAGTTTTTTAATTAATCTATGTACTAACCTCGTTGTTATTTTCTCGTAGGTTGGGGAGGACGTCGATATATACAACCAACGGTATTATCTCGAGCAAGGACCGGTGGATCCAACCGACTTGTACGACCAACCCAACCATCGGTCAAGGGATGTTTGGAACGATCACCCGGTACATACAAACAATTCTTCACCATTTGTCCTTCTTTTATTTTGTTAATGTGCCTAGTGTAATATAAAATTAATTTATGTTTATTTTTTAATCGTGTTGGTTGTTTTCAATAATTTAATCGAATACATAGCGCCACTTACTTCGACTCTTTATAAAGAGATGCACGTCTAAGGAAATGGGGTTTTAAGCGATTATCATATCCTCCCATTACCTGGGAAAATGGGGTATTAAGAGATCCTCGGATCCCCCCTTTTTCTGTCAAAAAGACTGCGTTTCTAAGAAGATGTATACCTCTTCTAAGAGTCTAACGAGTGTTGCTTTGTATTCGATTAAATTATTTAAAACAACTAATACGATTAAATTATTTACCAAACATTTACCAAACGTTAACTGACGGAATGCCATCTGCACACAAACAAACCGTAGTTTAGTTAACAAGATAAAAATCACAAATCACAAATAACAATAAAAAGTAACACAAAATAAAGTTACGAGTTAATGTTAATGGCATAAAAAGTAACACAAAATAAAGTTACGAGTTAATGTTAATGGCATAAAAAGTAACACAAAATAAAGTTACGAGTTAATCTTAATGGCATAAAAAGTAACACAAAATAAACTTACGAGTTAATCTTAATGGCATAAAAAGTAACAAAAAATAAACTTACGAGTTAATCTTAATGGCAAACACACTAAATAAATATAGATATACAACAGAAAAATGAAAGAGAGAATGAGAGGTGTGAAGAGTAGAGGTTTTCCGGCAAGTCTTATATAGGGAAAAAATTGTGAAAACCGCACC